GAGGATCCCCGGTTGAATTAAAGGTGGCCTAAATTTGGATAGGAAAAAACTGCGTTAAACTATCTGTTGCAGGAAAATACTATTATACTATAATGTTAAACTTCAGCTCAGACAAGACCAACTGTCTTGTTATGTAGTGAATGTCTGGTCTTATTATATGGTACACCTAGCTGTGTAAGCAATAAATTGTTTTTTTTTTTTTTTTTACAAAATTCTCTAGATGTTTCCTTTATATTGTGGAAGTTGGAGAAAGATAATATTATGCTACCTCAGTAGGTAATACAAATAATAGGTTTCTATATATCTGCTGAACTTTGTAAATGAAAAAACCTACTAGGGATAGAGGTCATATTTTGCTCTGGCTATGATTTTTTGTTTCAACAATTATTAGCTAGGCTCATAATAAATCATGGCTAGGTTTGTAAATCACTGTTTCAGCTACTCCAAACTTTTACATGGTTTGATATACGTAGATGTGAAACATTTCTGTACTTGGTTGCTCTGCCAATCAAATGAAGCCAAAGCTGTTTTCAATTGAGCTACATAATGCAAATCTGGACTTTTTTGTGTGTTGCAAAATGGGAATTTTAATATTTTGGGAATGGAGAAAACATTTTGTTTTTGAAACAACTATGCTTGTTTCAATCATGCTTGGCCATAATGGGGTGACAATGTTTTAGCGCATATGATTTGTCAACTGTGTTTCACAATCTAGTGTTAGGAGCCAGCTCACCGTGGAGATTTATGCAATCAATTTGGCGCAATATATGAATTGAATCATGTCAAAAAAGAAAACTGGGTTAATGAAAAGACTTGAAAGGAAAAGCCCAACCTGGTGGTCCTAAGTAGCTGAATCAGAATTACAGTTATAATTCCAGGCCTACTCTTCCAGTACAGATCAAATTTTTCTCTAGGCTCCAAATAGCACATCTACAGCCTATCAAATTTGAAATTAAAGAAGGGAGGAGGTAAGACTAAAAAAATACGTTATGAGAATGCTAATTAGGTGGCCTTTCTTAAGAAGCTTCAGGAGAGTGGATGACGGCCTTTTGTGATGGAAAAGACAGGAAGACAGAACCCAAGATTTAAGCTCACATTTTGTATGCATGTACGTGGTGGCTCAGTGGCTAAGATGCTGAGCTTATCTATCAGAAAGTTTGGCAGTTCGCCGGTTTGAATCCCTAGCGCCACGTAACTGAGTGAGCTCCCATTACTTGTCCCAGCTTCTGCCAACCTAGCAGTTCAAAAGCATGTAAAAATGCAAGTAGAATAAATAGGAACCGCCTTTGGTGGGAAGGTAACAGTGTTCTGTGCACCTTCGACGTTTAGTCATGCCGGCCACATGACCACAGAGACGTCTTCGGACAGCGCTGGCTCTTTGGCTTTGAAACGGAGATGAGCACCGTCCCCTAGAGTCGGGAAAGACTAGCACATATGTGCAAGGGGAACTTTTACCTTATGTTTATATCTGTATTTACATGTAGTCCTTATACCTTATAAGCTTATCAGTGGTGGGTTTCAAATTTTTTTAGAACCTCTTCTGTAGGTGTGGCCTGCTTTGAGGGAGTGGCTTGCCAGCCATGTGACTGGGTGGGAATGGCTTGCCAGCCATGTGACTGGGTGGGAGTGGCTTGCCAGCCATGTGACTGAGTGGGAGTGGCTTGGCAGTCATGTGACGGTGGGCATGGCCAACTTGTAAAATGTGGTGAAACTCACTTAACGCTCTTGCTTAGCAACTAAAATGTTGGCTCAGAAACTGGCATTTGAAGCACGCAACTCATAAAAGTTGTCAAGGTACAAGACCCTTGCACCCCTAACCCTTTTGAAAAAAAAACCCAGGGGTATTCAAACTTGACAACTTTTAAGACTTGTGGACTTCAATTCCAGAATTCCTCTTCTCGCTCTTCATCTTGATGATGTGCGGATGGGTAGTGGGAGGGAGTTGGAACCAGTTCTAAATGGCACTGTAGATTTGTGGAACATATTCTATAGAAGAGGTTAGATCTGGCAGGAACCCACCCCACCCCTGAAGCTTATAACCATTTTTTTTTAGCAACCAGAGCCTTGTGATTCCTATTTGCAACTTTCCTTGCTGGCTGTAGTTGTTTTTGAACCAACTACACTCCTGCATCATGCTTGGCCATAATGGAGTGATAACATTTTAGCTAATATGATTTGTCAACTGTGTTTCACAAGCAAAGTCAATGGGGGAAGCCAGATTTGCTTAACAACTGTTTGGTTCTCTTAACTCTAGTTTTTTGCTGACTTGTGGCAAAAAAAGTTGGGTGCAACTCACTTAACCATCTTGCTTAGCAGTGGAAATCCTGCTCCCACTCGTCATAAGTTGAGGACTACCTACCATATTTTTGGAGTATAAGATGCACCTTTTTCCCTCAAAAAAGAGGCTGAAAATCTGGGTGCATCTTATACACTGAATACAGCATTTTTTGCCTCACGAAACCCCACCCCCTTCACCAAAATAGAGGTGCAGAGCCTCTAGGAAGCTTTCAAAGAGCTCCTGGGCGCTGGGGAGAGAAGAAATGAGCAAAAAATGGGCTGATTTTTGCTCACTTTTGCCCCCCCCTCCAACCTCCAGGAGCACTCTACAAGCCTCCTAAAGGCTATACATGCCCTTTCCTTTTTTTAAAAAAAAAGGGGGCATTTTTGCAAAAAACACGGGTTTTTTAGGTGGTCTGTAGAGTACAAAAACTTTTTTTTTTTAAAAATTGCCTCTTCAAAATCTTGATGCATCTTATACTCTGAAAAATACAGTATATTCAAGCTGAGTCCTGGACGGTACCAAGTACAGGGGAAATTATTGCAGGCATCGGCCTTGACACCAGGCCCCCTTAATTCCATTCTGCTTCATCACCTCAGAAAGGGAAGGAAGCAATCATTATTGAGGCTCTTGTTATGAATGCCTTGCAGCAGTGGATCGGTGAGGAGGTACCAAAGGTCGACCTCCCCTCCTCCTTTCTCTGCAGGGACATACATAATTGAGGGTGAGGCCTTGGCAATAAAAATCCTTCCTTCCTCTGCCCCCCCCCCCCCTTTGAGTCTTGTAGCTGAGGAAAAATAAGTTCTGGAAACGATCCGGGTTTTTTGTTTGAATGGTTGAGTCAACCTACCAGGGGAAGCAAAACCAGGGAAAGGAACATCCGAAAAATGCTGCTGAAGAAGCAACTTTTAAAACAATCATTTTGACACCTGAGGTCCAATTTCAGCAGATCGTCCAAGAAAGCGGGAAAGTTTTCTTCTCTTTTGTCATCTCTCTAGGGCAGGGGTGTCCAAACTTGGGAACTTTCAAGACTTGTGGACTTCAACTCCCAGAATTCCCCAGCCAGCCCTGCTCTAGGGCCAGGAAAGACTCAAGCTCGTTGCTCTCTGTTCAGAAGAAGAAGAAGAAAAAGCAGCTTCAGGCAAGGATATTCTGCCTTCTAGTTATTTATTTTCTCATATCCTGGAACGCAGGAAACGAGGCTGCAAGTGCAGGAAACCCGAGCGGCTCTTATTGATGCCTTTCAGCCTAGTGACCTACAGACCTATATTTCCCCTGAAGAAAGCCAGGTCGGCGGGGGTGGGTGGGGAGAACACAATCTTCACGCAAAGAGCCAGAGGTGCGCTGCCGCGCAGGGTAGCTGAAGAATGCTGGAACCGAAGCGGGGGAGGGGGGGAGAGAAAAGGACTCAGAAAGTGAAAATCTCACTCCGAAAACACCATTTCATTAGCCGCACGACACCCCCCCCCCTTCTTTCCCCGTGCAAGGTAAATCGCGGGATCCCCGGCCTGCCCAGTAGGGGGCGCCAGGATGCAGGCTGGCACAGCGAAGAGGCGGCTGCCTGTTTCTGAGGTTGGGCAGGGAAGTGGCGGCCGCGGCAATTGCGCGCTAGGTTGGTATCCTTAGGGTGCGCCTCCCTCTCTCCGGGAATCGGCCCCTGCCGCTTAAGGTAGAGAGAGAGAGGCGGCCCCGGGGGGAAGGATGTGGCCGGCACAGCAACTCTGGGGGGCCGGACTTCAAGGCGGATCCGGGCAGCGGGAGCCACCTTTCCCTCGCGTCCGCAACCAGAAGGGTG